TCTCCTTTGTAGCCTTTCCCTACACCTGGGGTGTGGTGACTCTCAGGTTAAAGCACCACCAGTCATCCTTCTTTCTGAGAGAGCAGCCTGATGGACTGGTAGGACTATTGCAACTTTACCTTTTACTTGCCTTCCTTGTACTCTCCCACAATTTATCCTTTTCAGGTTTACAGGGATGATGCAAAAAGATTTAGTTTTATGGATCAGCTCATAATCGTCTGCTGTTCCTACTGCCTGTCTTGCAGTTGCAATTTTGTCTTCAATGTTTGTTCTAATTACTAAGGGTCATGAGTTTTAAATTCTTCTACGAGAAAGATTTCTCTGACAGCTTTATACGTTTACTCGTAATGCTTGTATCCAAACATCAAAATCCCTTTCAAATCAACATAAGGTTGCCCAGGCTGTTCCCTTAAATTTTGAAGCTTTTACCTATCTGCTTTGGGGGCTATATTTTAGGCACCCAGAGTAGCATTTATTACAGCAATATACTCCATAGATACCACCTCTGAAAAAGGAGCATAAATTTCATGTTTCTTACCTGTCAAACTGCTCTACCCGGGCAGTGTCCAATTTCCATTGACCATTTACTTTATTTTACTACCTATTCGAACAATATAAAAAAATGACTTTACATCTTTCTTCACATTTTAGTAGAGCCTGTTCAAATTTAAGAAATTCCTGACTGGATTTTGCTTTCCTCTTCTTTTACTACACCTGAGTCTTTTTTTCAATCTGCCGTCTTCTAAACCAAAATATAAAGTTTGGTGATCCTGCCTGTGTTTGAGATTATCCTCACTGACATTTAATGGCTGTCATATCTTTACATGGGCTCAAGGCAGGACTTCTGCCCTCATCAAAGTGGAGGTCCCAGCACAGTGAGCTGCCAACCACCCAAATAGATGGCAACTCTTTTATTCAATCTGTGCCGCAGTGCTCGGTCTTGAACCAATCTCCTGAAGAAGAGGAGCTAGGAGCCCAGAACTGGCTGGCAGGCTGTGGTGAGGTAGGTTGAGGGGCATGAGTCAGTTAATTTGAACAATTAAACAAAGTCAAAACTCAATCATCCTAGAAGCAGGTTTGAATTAGGTTATCTCTGGCCTTTTGATTGTTCTGTCATGCTTGCTCCTCCTATTCAATATGCTAATCTTCATCTTCATCCTCAAAAGATTGTTATCGTTCCTCCATTTTGTCTGCGTCCAGGGTATCCCCAGCCTTTGTCAGCTTCAGTTGTGAAGTGCACATGCAATGTTGCAATGATGCCCTTTCGAGGCTATACTGCAAGACTCTGCCAAAGTGGTTCAGACACCACAACCACATCTTGAAGAGGCCTCTGGTTTGTTCCACTTTAGCCCCAGTGGAAGTATGATCAGTGTGGTATCTTTGTTCTGCAAATAGTCAAAGGGGTTTGTAAAGGTGTCATAAGCCATTTCCAGAGGGAGAATTCCTTGTCTCCTAGTAATTAGTCATCCCTGTATTGCCCGAGGACCTTGGAAGGAAACAGGAACCTGTGAATACTGTAGTGTGCCAGAGTCATGGCAGTTCCCAGCATATCTGGTACAGACCTTCAAAATGTGACATCAATGATCACATACAATTTGAACATTGATGGAGTGGAATCTTGTTCTTTTGATGATCTCTACAGCTTGATGATGGAACACCCTCAAAGCAAAATGCATGCAGTCAATAGAGCCCTGTACCTGGGAAGCCAGTGACGGAGAGAATGCCAGGGTCTGAGCTGCTTGACTTTCCTTGATCAGTGATCTGGAGAAAATGGCATCAGTTACATGCCAGATGCATTATGAGTCAAGGATTTGTAGATGCATGCAGATCCTCAGTTACTTCTTGAAACAAGTTGATGACATAAAAAAATCAGGCCAGCTGTGACCTTGATGGCCACTGGGATGGAATTGCTACCCAGTCCTGCTCCAGCAAAAGATACAGTTTGGTGATGATGGTGTGAAACATTTTTAATCAGTGCCCACAATGTATATCATAGAGTTGAAGAAAATGACAAGGATATCTATAGATCTGGGTTCTCATCGTTGTCCTGTGCCTCCGTGGTGGAACTCCTAATAGCTTCTCCCTGTGGAGGCTGTGCAGTAACTCCATACTATTCTGGCTGGGCTTGTTGGTAAAGTAGTGATTACTATCTCCTTTTATGTTTTGTCATAGTTGGATCAAGGCCACACCCACTCCAACCACGGTGATCTCTATGTGAGATCTATGAGCAAATATTCTGTGCATAATGTCAGAAAGGTAATACAATTTTACTGAAGGAACTCCTGAGCCCTCACATCCACATTGATGAAGTCTCATGTGATGTCCTCACACAATGTGAGGCTTCCCAAGGAGGGCACGTGTCATGTCTCGGTCAGGAGCTCGGAGGTATGTCAGCTCATCCAATGTACACTTCCGAGCCAAAGTTTCCATGCTGCTCCAGGGAGGTAGAATTCTGCCCGTAATGTATCTTGATAGATACCCCCACCACCACCCAAAGAAAAGGCTTCCTTCACATCACAGACCATACCCTTACATATTTGCAGTGCATTATGTGAATGTAGCAGCTGTGAAGTACTGTGTCCCAGTGTTAGGTAAGGAACGTGTTTGTGAAATGGAAACTTCAGACACTGTTTTTAAATGCCTCGTTCTGATTACGTTTGCCTCGCTAACATGACAAGGAGGCAATTACTGTGCATTGTAGTGGTCACAATTTCTTGAGACCATAATTCTTCATGTGAATTATTGGAAAATGAACAACATGTCAATGAAATGCAAATTGAAGCTCACTGGGTGACATTACTGAACCAATGGAGGCATAATTACTGAATTTCCCCTAACAGGGCCTCTAATTCCAAAAGTTTGCATTCACTTCTGAAGAAGAAATCAGTAACTAACTCCACAGTCAATGCCTGCACTGTCAGCCATATTGTGTGGTTATTGTGCAGTTGACTTTTCACCCAACAAAGAAACATTCCAACTTTATTTCAATGTGAGTATCTTACAGGTTCTGCCTGTGGCATACCAATTTTACCACTTCATCAGCCTTTATGTTCCCTTTTGTACTGCTGTTCTTGTGGTCTCCATGACCTTACAGTATTCCCCTTTTTGATAAGGCCCTTTATATCAGGGACTAAAGCAGCCCATGTTCAAATGCAACAAGACCTGAACAATAACTAGGCTTGGACTGAAAATTGGCAAGTAATATTCATGCCACACAAATACCAGGCCATGACCATCTCCAATAAGAGATAATATAACCACTGCCCCTTTACATTCAGTGGTATTACCATCACTGAATCCCCCACCATCAACATTCTAGAGGTTACCTTGACCAGAAACTCAAATGGACTCGCCATATAAATACATTGTTAACAAGGGCAGGTCAGAGCTTCGAATACTGCAGTGTGTAACTTTCTTCCTGACTCCCCAAAGCCTGCCCACCATTTACAAGGCAGGAGTCAGGAATATAATGGAATACTCCCCTCTTGCCTGGTTGAATGCAGCTCCAACACCATTCAAGCAGCTGCTTGATTGGCACTGCATCCACAAGCATCTACTCCCTCCTCCACCAATGCTCAGGTGCAGGAATGTGTTCTGTCTACAAGATGCCACACAAAACTTCACCAGAGATCACTGAGACAGCATCTTCCAAAACCATCTTTCCCTCCCCACCTTTATCTGCTTTCCGGAGGGACAACTCTCTCCGTGACTCCCTTGTCCGCTCCACACTCCCCTCCAGCTCCACCACACCCGGCACTTTTCCCTGCAACCGCAGGAAGTGCTACACCTGCCCCCATACCTCCTCCCTCACCCCCATCCCAGGCCCCAAGAAGACTTTCCACATCAAGCAGATGTTCACCTGCACATCTGCCAATGTGGTATACTGCATCCGCTGTACCCGGTGTGGCTTCCTCTACATCGGGGAAACCAAGCGGAGACTCGGGGACCGCTTTGCAGAACACTTACGCTCGGTTCGCAACAAACAACTGCACCTCCCAGTCGCGAACCATTTCAACTCCCCCTCCCATTCCTCAGACGACATGTCCATCCTGGGCCTCCTGCAGTGCCACAACGATGCCACCCGAAGGTTGCAGGAACAGCAACTCATATTCCGCTTGGGAACCCTGCAGCCCAATGGTATCAATGTGGATTTCACAAGTTTCAAAATCTCCCCTCCCCCCACCGCATCCCAAAACCAGTCCAACTCGTCCCTGCCTCCCTAACCTGTTCTTCCTCCCACCTATCCCCTCCTCCCACCTCAAGCCGCACCTCCATCTCCTACCGACCAACCTCATCCCGCCCCCTTGACCTGTCCGTCCTCCCTGGACTGACCTATCCCCTTCCTAACTCCCTACCTACACTCACCTTTCCTGGCCCCATCCCCGCCTCTTCGACCTGTTTGTTTCCTCTCCACCTATCCTCTCCTCTATCCCTCTTCTATCCGCCTCCCACTCTCTCCCTATTTATTTCAAAACCCCCTTCCCCTCCCCCTTTTCTGATGAAGGGTCTAGGCCCGAAACGTCAGCCTCTCTGCTCCTATGATGCTGCTTGGCCTGCTGTGTTCATCCAGCCCTGCACCTTGTTGTCTCTCTCTTCCAAAACCATGCCCACTTTCATCTAGAAGAAAAACAGCTGCAGATGTAGGGGAACTGCACCACCTGCAAGTTCCCCTCCAAGGCACTCACCACCCTGTCTCTGGAAATATATCACCATCCCTTCGCTGTTGTTAGGTCAAAATCCTGGAATTCTCTCCCTAATGGCATTATTGGTCTATCTACAACACATGGGCGGCAGCAGTTCAAGAAAGCAGCTCACCACCACCTTCTCAAGGGTAACTAGGGATGGGCAATAAATGCTGGCCCAGCTAGTGATGTCCACATTCCATGAGTTAAAAAAAACAAATTATAATCATGGGTGTAACTACTAAGCTTGGTTTTGTTCAGATGCTTTTGTCAATGGTCAGGTGTTTCATTCTTGTATTTTTGCTCTGTTTGTTTCAGTCCCTCCAGACAACCCAGTGATTAGCAGTGGGCCTGTTGTCAGCCTGAAAGTAGGAGACTCTCTGAACCTCACATGCCGTGCAGATAACGCCAAGCCAGCAGCTGTCATCACCTGGATCCGAGATGGAGAACCACTGAAAGGAGCAACCTACATAAAGGTGAGGAGGGCAGCCTTACACCAACTTAGATACAAGCGGCAGTAACATTGACCCCAGTGTAGAGGCAGTGCAGTGGGATGCATTACTGGGATGAGGTGAAATGGAGTGGGTCAGCTCAGATTGGGATGGCATGGAAATGGTTGGATGAATGAATGAGATGAGGATCAGTTGAGTGGGATGGATTCAGGTGAAGTTGGTTGAGGGAGATGAGTTGGGATGATGTTGGGGAGAGTTGGGGCTATGTGGAACTGTTTGAAGATGAAGAGGAAGGGGTGATGCAGGGTCTGGTGAAACAGAATGGGTTGGGATTGGTGTGTGGTAGGATGGAGTGGGTTGGGGGTGGTATGTGGTGGGGCAGTGTGGGTTTGGGATGGTATGTGTTGGGAGGAAATGGAGAGAGGGTGAGATGCAGGCGTGCGGAGGAATTGGTTGTTTTTTAGGTAGATTGGTGAGGCTGGCTGAGTTTTGAGTGTATTGGTGGCAGTAATGAAAAATACTGAAAAATAGAAGACCTCTTAAGCATTCCAACTGCTGTGGACTAATACAGCATCTGTCTTTAATTACAGTTCAAGAGTTTATCATGTCTGAGGTAAGAGTGCAAAGCTGACACAGCTGAATGCAGCTGATTAAGCAGCTCTCTCTCTCCAACTCATTTTAAAATTAAATTAACTTCCATCGTTCTCAGGTTTCCTTTCTCCATGAATTTAGTGCTCACCAAGGCGAGGGATGAATGTGCTGGAGAGTGAGTTGTTCTCCATCTCAGGCCTCCTGTCAAAAACCCAAACACATACTGTGTGGCTTGAATGCTGAGGAAAACTGTTTTTAAACTGCTCAGGAAATAGGTCATATCCCACACCTCAGAAGCGCTAATGTGACCTCTTTCCATTATTACAGCAGCCATTCGGTCAGCTGCCTGACATTGTTGTACTTGGGGAAGGCCTGCGCACACAAGGAATTATACCAAGTTTATGTATGTCTTCTAACATCAAATACCATTAACATCAAAACAATGAAGTACTTTTTCACATCAACAGTAGTAGAGATCTGTATCTCTTTTCCCCACCCTCCCAAAAGGCAGGGAATGCTGGGATCTAAAAGATTTTGTTCAGTAAGGGATATATGCCAAAGATGGGTAAATAAAGGTGCACATCAATTCTAGAATGACAGTACAGGCTCAAAGGAATGAATTTGTTCTGTTTCAATGTCATTCTTTAGTTGCTGTACTTAACCTCATTTGAAATGGAGCTCAAAGAGTTCTGGATTTGGCAGGAGAATCCTTCATGATGCACCATAGAAGCATGAGTGGCAAAAATCAGACAGGGAACCAAAATTATAATCAACACTATAACCCTATCTTAGGTTGCTATCTTTAATATAGCAATAATTCATCCAACTGTGTTGGAGCTTTGTGCGAATTGAGAATTATCAATTGTAATGTTGCTGGTTTCTTAACAAGAGTCTTCATCACTGTCATTTGTGGAGATGGTAGGAGCCAACAATTAATGAGGAGCATAAGCCTGAGACTAACCATAAATATGAGCAAGTGAAGAGGGCACTGAATAGAGCGCATTACCCCCACCACAATCTGTTAACTCAATGTTATTACCGTGTTGTGAAGTTGGGTACAGTACATGCAGATTGGGAGGCAGGAAGTTAGAATTTGGTGTTCGTAAAATGCGAGGGGGAAGCATTGTATGGTCCCTTTAAAAGATTATGTGCTTTTTCTATGCCCAAAGATTTAAAATAGATGCCTGAGAGGAGTAGCTTGAAAGTTTTCAAGTACACAGACAGCACCCAAATTGAAACATTTGTATAAAAGGCCGTACTGTTAGCAGGTCAAGAAGCAGACAAACAGGCTTTTAAATTTAGCCAATCAATTTGAACCAGGCACTTAGGCACCAAAAACCAATTAAATTTAAATCTGTTTCAGAGATAGTAGGAACTGCAGGTGCTGGAGAATCTGAGACAACAAGGTGTAGAGCTGGGTGAACACAGCAGGCCTGCTCCTCTGATGCTGCTTGGCCTGCTGCGTTCATCCAGCTCTACACTTAAATTTAAATCTGATGGTTTTGACAATATAGGACCAATTCTATTGTCAGAAATATTACGTCATCAAGGGTATAAAAGAAGGCGGCAGTTGGACAAAACCCCCGAGAGCTAACTGCCATCCGCCAGAGCTAACAGTCCTCAGCTCTCAAGAGAGAATTGCTGGCTCTCACAGACTTCGGTATGTCTTAGAGAAAGAACCAACTAAAACACCAGGGTACCCCACAGCACGACTAGTTAACATTGCTGTCAGAAGAATCGATGGAGAAGGCATCCCAGACAGAAGAATTGACAGAGAAGGCACAGAGAATTCCAGAATACATGTAAAATGGCTGTAATTTTGAGAAACAAAAGTCTTTTATTATTTATTTTATATAAGTGGGACTTGCATTTATTGGAACAACATATCATTAGAATCTTGCTTTATTCGGGAATAGCTAGTAGATAGAAAGGGTTTATTTGGTTTTTTAATAGTTTAGTTAATTTGTTCACTGTTAGAATTAGATAAATAAATTGTTACTTGTTGATTGTAAAGTGAGCATCAGGGATTTATTTCATTTAACGAATAAAAGTTCTGAAAGGCAGGGGTCACACTACTTTTCACATTCCTTTTACAGATTATGGGGCAAGGTGCTCCTCTTTTGGTGTTTCAGTTTTAGTTCTCAGGGGCGGGGGGAGTCAACCTCTGCCTTATAATAACAGCTACACATTCCTCCTTGACACTTTCCCCTGGTTGATGCTCCAACTATTCAGATGAAAAAAAAAGTGTTTTATAATAATCGCTTTTATTTCACTGAGGAGGTTTCAAGTCAATCCAGATCCAACAACTTGGTCTGAAAATCCTGTTTAAATTTGAAAGCTGCTACAAATAATGCCACAGCAGCTGAAATGATGTATAATATCCTAAAACAATTAACAATATTATAAACAAAATAACCCACAACTTATTTAAAAAAGAACATAATTTCAACCTTTCTCTCAATGTTGGCAGATTTTTGGAAAAAATCCAGAACCTGAACTATTGGCGTACCATGCTTCAATGAAATTTGTTCATTCACTTTTAAATATATTGTTGACAGTGTTGTGATCAATTGAAGAGAGGACAAATGGCTCCCTTTTTTGCCATCTCATAGATTTGTTTGTTTTTCATTTTTCAATATCCTGAAGTGCTCTTACACACAAAGTAACTTTCTTTCCCCATCACCAAATCACCATGGCTGTTTTTTTCAACTATTGGCCACCACCAGTGAATCATCCTTGTTTTCCAGTTGAATAATTTACGTGCAAAGCCCGTAAAAGGCAATGCAAACTATCAAAGGTGAGGGAGAGGGCGAAGGGGCTAAGTAAAAATGGATTGGAATTGGACAGAAATCAGTCCACCCCTCCGGTGCCCATATCTCTATAAAGGCATTGAGAGTACTGGTGTAAACCATGTGCTCCCCTCCAAGGGCATCCAGGCACGAATATATATCCTGGGTTATTGTGAAAGAGATAAAGTCATTAATTAAGTGAGTACTTTTCTTGAATTTAACAAAGAAAGAGGTTATCTTTAAATCAATTTGAAATCAATCCAAGTAAAATAATCAAATATGTGCTGACTTGCACACATACACATGTACACATGAAAGGGTGCATGCACACAAATACAGATTACATAGTGGAGAAGGATAGCTTGGACAAATTAGAGTCCATAAAAAGTAAAATTTCATACGCTATAAGGTTGTGACTCAGCAGGTTTCAGGATGAATTCCGAATCTTGATGCTTCTAATTTAAAGATGTAGATGAACAGGTTTAAAAACCGGAATAACTGCAGCTGCTGTAATTCAGAAACAAAAACTGAAATTGCTGGAAAAGCTCAGCAGGTCTGGCAGTATCTGTGGAGTGAAATCAGAGTTAACCTTTCGGGTCCAGTGACGCTTCCTCAGAACTGACGTTGTAGATGATTAGATTTGTTGACCTTCTGGAGACATTAGTGCTGGGTTGACTCCTTTTAAGAACTCGCTGCAGCATGACATCCTGGATGATTACAGTGAGCAAACCAGGCTGGAAACCTATCAGGGTGGGGGTTGGAGAAACAGGGAGGGGACAAGAGTTTTCCCATTTCGAGAGTTCCATAAACTGTTGGTCCTCAGTTTTGCAGATAAAGATACAAAGTGTTGGCATATCATATGACTGTCCTCTCTAACTGACCATTAATTGAAACATTATCCAATTACAACCTGATTATAACCTCAGGTTTTTGAATTCCTTTTCTTTGTCAATGTCCCACTATTCAGGTGATTTAGTTTGATGTTCTATCTCCACCCAGTTGTGTATCTGGACATTGAACCATATTTCTTATTCTATTAGCGCAATCAGTTGCGATGAGTAAAGATTGGTCACTGCACCACCTCCACAATAACACTCAACACATGATTCCCCCAAGGATGCGTCCTCAGCCCCCTACTGTACTCCCTGTACATCTATGATTGTGTTGCCAAATTCCGAATGAACGCCATCTACAAGTTTACTGACGACATCACCATAGCAGGACGGATATCTAACAATAACGAGTCAAAATACAGAAGGGAGATAGAGGGCTTGGTGATGCGGTGCAATTTAAAACAAACTGTCTCTCAACATCGGCAAAACTAAAGAACTGATAATCGACTTCAGAAAGAAAGGAGGGGAACATATACGTCAATGGAACTGAGGTTGAGAGAGTGAAGACCATCAATTTCCTCAGAGTGACGATAACTAACAACCTGTCCGGGACTTCCCACGTAAATGCAACAGTCAAGAAGGCACAACAATGCCTCTTGTTCCTCGGGCAGCTCAGGAAATTTGGCATGTCCGTAAGTTCCCTCACCAACTTCTACAGATGTACCATTGAAAGCATACTGTCTGGGTGTATAACTGGTATGGCAACTACTTTGTCCAGGACCGTAAGAAACTACAGAAGGTGGTGTGCATAGCCCAGACCATCACGGAAGTCAACTTTCCATCCATGAACTCTATTTACACAACTCGCTGCCGCGGAAAGGTGGCCAACATGATCAAAGACCGATCACACCAGGTAATGATCTCCTATAACCTCTTCCATCAGGCAGAAGATACAAAACATACGCACAAGCAGGTTCAGGAACAACTTCTTTCTGGCCATTATCAGACTGTTGCATGGACTCTAGCCTCAAATAATGCAACCTGCAATGTAACCTGTATGCCTTTAAGTCTTTTTGATCTGTACATCCTTTGCTTGCTGTGATCTGCCTGTACCACTCATAAACAAAGCTTTTCATTGTATTTCAGTACACGTGACAATAAATCAATCAATCAATCAATCAGAGTCTTCTGAGGTAATTGTCTTTGGGTTGTTTTTTGCTGCATTCCCAACTCCAAATCGGTTGAGATAACAAGGTGTAGAGCTGGATGAACACAGCAGGCCAAACAGCAGATGCTGTTTAGCCTGCTGTGTTCATCCAGCTCTACACCTTGTTATCTCAGATTCTCCAGCATCTGCAGTGCCTACTATCTCCAAATCAGTTGGTTTGGAATGTAGAATACATAGTAATGCAAATTGGGTGACCACCTTGGATGTGATTTCAAATCACTTTCATTTTTCAGCCTTTTTATTCTACGTTTTGGTTTATTTTTCTGTGTTTTAAGATGGCGCTGGAGAACGGAGACACTATACAATAGTTTTCACTGTGTTTTGTAACATGACAATAAATAAATCAAATAAACCAAATCAAATAAAATGCTATTTTTTTTTCAAGCTCAATTCAGATTTTCAGTTAATAGGTTAAAAATCATTATTTAACCTTAGACACATCTTCAAGACAACAACTGAACAGACATTAGTTGGTGGGGGTGGGGGCAAACATTACCTCCACTAGTGTTGAAGTACAAGCTGAGGAGAGGGAAAGTGAAGAGGGGATGACTTAACTAAAGAGAACAATCTTTTGAACCATTTCCGAAACATTAATTTTGTTTCTCTCTCCACAGATGCTGCCAGAACTGATGAGTTTCTGCAACTTTTTCTGTTTTTATTTGCATTTATATTGCTCTTTTCATGTCATCAGGAGATCCCGAAGAGCTTTATAGCCATGAAGAACCGTTGATGCGTAGTCACTGTTGTTACATGGGCAAAAGTGGCAGCTGATTTGCTTATAGCAAAATCACATTAACTGGGGAAATAATGTGTTTCTTTGACCAGTGCTGTAGGATCTTTTACATCCATTAAAGAGCCAGATGGGATCTTGGATTAATGTCTGAAAAAAATAGCACTCTCTCAATACTCCACTGGAGTGTCAGCTTAGATAATAGCATAAAGTACCAGAGTGAGATTTGAACCCAAAGACGTTTAAAACTTTTTTACTCGGATATTTAATAAGATTTACAACTGCACAGCAAAAAGTTATATTATTGGAGCAGGAATGAGAAGAAATTGAGTTAATTCCAGGGTAAAGGTTTTTGGAGGTGGCTTGAACAACGGAGTGGATATATGGGTTCAAATGATACGGTAAAGGCAAGAATTTCAGTGTAAGAGCAAAGATGTGGTCACCATAATTTGGATTTATAAGAGACATGATAAGGAGGGAAGAGTGATTTAGCTGCTGTATTGTGACATTTTGCCATCTGAAGGAAGTTAATGAATATAAAGTGGAATTGACAACAAAGGAATGGGATTAGTTGAAGAACAGGATATGGAGAAGAAAGAGAATGGGAAACAAGTCAAAGGCTTAGTCATCAAGTGCAGCGCAAAGACAGAGCTCGCAGATGTGGATATTGAAAAGTAGATGTAACCTTGAACAGATAATGAATCTACACCTAAACTGACAGGAATGTTAACAGAGATCAGTTCTCCTGAATTTTGTGTTTTTTTCCTTTTTGTCCGAATTATGTTGCAGTTTGAGCAAGTTGGTGACAGTATGACTGAAAATAATAAACAGACAGTCATTATACTGAAGCTCAGAGCAGCCCTGATCCAGGTCAATCATCTCCCAGTATCCAGCTCCACATTTTTCAGCATTCTTTGTTTGTGTTGCTTGTCTCTGTATCCTCAGACGTGTTCTTATTTCCCTCCACAGTTTCACATTGTCTGTTGTGACATTGTAAAGTTTTTCAGTGTGCACATTATCTTGGGAAAGATACGAAGGAAAAATGTATACATTGCTTCTCAATATCTCAGGACATCCCAAAGTGCTTGACAGCTGATGAAGTACTAGTTGACGAACAATTACAGTCATAAAGCAAGAAATATCACAGTCAATTACACCTCAGTGCTTTCCCACAAATAACAAATAAAAAGATGACCAGAAAATTTGTTCTTTTGTTCATAAGAATAGAATCACGGGATTTTTTTACATTCATTTATGAAATGTAGTCATCGCTGGCTGGTCCAGAATTTATTGCATATACCTAATTACGTTTGAAAAGGTGGCCTTCTTTAATCACTGTGGTGCATGATGTTTAGGGACACCAACAGTGATGTTAGGAAGGGAATTCCAGGATTCTGACCCAGTGACAGTGAAGGAATAGTGAGATATTTCTAACTCAAGGTGCTGGGGATTAGAAAGGTGTTGTTGAAGGAAGCTAGGTAAGTTGCTGGATGTATCTGGAAGATGTGACACATTGCTGCTTCTGTGGAGGCAGTGAGTGAGTACCATAAGAACATACTCAATATATGAATCAGTAACAGAAGTAGGCTATTCAACCCCTCAGTCCTGCTTTGCCATTCAATATGATCACGGCTGCTCTGATTGCTCCATGTTCCAGCTTATTGCCATATATTTCTCATTCCTTGTTTAAAAATCTCCAAAGGTTCCAGTCAAGCAGGTTTCTTTGTCCTGGATGTTGATGAGCTTCTTGAATGTTGTTAGAGCAGCACTTATCCAGGCAAGTGGAGAGTATTTCATCATACTCCTGACTTGTACCTTATAGTTGAACAGGCTGTGGGGAGTCAAGAAGTGAGTTATTCTCTATAGGACACCTAACCTCTAGTCTGTTATTGTGGCCACAGTAGTTAAATGATTAGTCCAGTTCAGCTTCTGGTTAATATTAATCCCCACAGCATTGACGCAGGAGTAGTCAGCCAAGCAATGCTATTGAACGTCAAGATGCTTAGACTGTCCCTTTTTTGGAAATGGCCATTGCTTGGCATTTGTTTGGTGCAAATGTTACTTGCCACTTATTGGCCCAAGCTTGAATATCATCCATGTGTTGTTGCAGCTAGACACGTGAGGTCTAGGTGCCAAGGCCAATGGATACTCAACCAAACTACAGCTAACACTCCGATCACTTTCTCCACAGAGGCTTCTGAAAGATGGGAAAAGAGAGAGCATCATCAGCAGCCTACACATCCCGCCATCAGAAATCGAAAATGGGCAACGCATCATCTGCAGAGCGAAGAACGCAGCAGTCCCAGAGGGCAGGGAAACAGAAGTCACGATTGATATCCAACGTGAGTTGTCTTTTCCAATTCATTCATTGCCATTCTAATATTCCACTTTTCATGTATGTTATTGTTTCAGTCCATGGTCAAAGCACCTGATTCAATGGACCTTTAGGGGTAGGTTTTCAGCTTTTGCTCAAGGCTAGACAATATGCTGTCCACTACGTCCTGATGTGTGTAGAGATACAAAATTGCATGCTGTCTATAATGGACAGCTGAAATTCGGTGAAAACTAACATCAGGGACTGAATTTAGGTTTTAAATGTATAAAACATGAAATGGGCACTTTCCTGATTTCCAAGATACACATGCAATTCATTACTGACTTTTCCAGGGAGTTTTGTGTTTTCAGAGTTCAGCTTCACAGTGCAATGTACAATCTGCAATGGTATGTGGGAGGAGTGCTAATCTGCATGTGGGCTGGTTAGAAAGAAAATCTTGGATTTTGATGATAGCTGCCCAGATCCTCACACTGTTTAAAGGCTGCTTTACTGATGCCTCTGAGACCTCTGCTCCTCCCATGCCCTCTCCATGCCCATCAGATTTCCTATGCCCAGTCAGAACATAATGCCACCCGATGTCCTCCACTTATCCTCCATTGCCACACAGCTAGTATCCCAATGCTCAGGCACCAGGCAATGTGAATTATTTTTCATGCAAAGAAAAGAAAAGCTGTATTCCTACAGAAAGCAAGTTTAATTCACTACATGGCAATTAGGGTTTGTAAACAAACAACTATATACTCAGAAACCACATCAAATGCAAATCAAATTATTTTGATTTCTTTAAACTGTCAAACATTCACTGAAGGAGCTCTTTCAATGGGCCAATTGCTTAACTGAAGGGAGTCTTCATAGTTGGAACTCATAATAGCCACAGCTTCCATACACTGAAATAATAAAAGAAACATATAATGTTTTAGTTCCATTTCAAAGCCATTGCTTTAACAATCAAATGTAAGGAGTGCTATCATCTCAGCTGATGTTATTACTGGGCTGAAATCTGACTTGGTAGATCGTATGTTTTCTTGGTTTTAACAAGGTAAGCTTTCACTGAAACACAAAAACACAATGTCGTAAATGTAGATTGAACAATAAAATTGAAGATATGAAATTAAAATGGAGTAAACAAAACTATTTACATGTAATATACATTTAAAGATTTTGACTCTGAGGGTAAATTACAATCCCATTAAACCTAATCCTTCATAGTAGTTATTCCAGATTGAGAATTCCTTTGTCTGTCATACATTGGACTTAATTTAACTGTGGCTTTAATTCCCCATCCTGAGAATCTTATAACCTCTTTTTGGAGGCATTTCACACAGAACTTTTATTTTCTCAGCTTCAAATAATTGCTTGAAGTTTGTAACCAAACACTTCTCATCTGGAACTTTTAAACTAAACTACTTATACAGAGGTAATCTATTTCTTAACAGTTCTAAAACATCTCCTTTTATCATGAACAACTATTCCAACACATCCAGCTTCAGCCAAGCCTTTTGCAAAACCTGCTAAACTGAAATCCAAAATACTTTTTCCAAGCTATGAGTATCTCCCTTAATGAAAAAAAAACAAAACTCTGACCTTTTAAACTGAAAGCCTAATACATTGCTAATTAATTTTTTATACTCATTAAAAACTCTCTGAATGAAATAAAAATCCTATCAAACACTAGAAACTCTCTCTCTCATACTGCTTTCTTTTCAAATACATTACCATGGATACAGATATTCTTACAAAGTAATCACTAATCTTTTTCAGACGCACAGACCAAATCCTATGTGCTGTTAAATCTTATCTGAATTCAGAAAGAAATTATATTAAAATAGGAGTGTTATTAAACAACACATGATGTCCGCCATGAAAAAGGTTTAATAGAGGTAAGTATTGTGATATCACTTTAAGGGAATATGCAAAGATCTGATCAGGGAAGCAGGATATAAAGAATCATTAGACAAGCACCTAATTAATGAGTGTGTTGTTCAGTTGTTGCTGAGAATAATGGTGTTGCAGAATTGCTCAAGTAAACCTATCTGTCCTGTAATAAATCTCAAATTTAGAGCATACCAATCAAGAGTGCATGATTGGTGATAATGTAAAGGACTGACAAACCCAATATGGTGGCAGTATTGTATGTTTGAAGACCACAGACCATCTGATGCAATGCAGAGATTGTACGTTCATTGAAATTCTGGGAATCAAAGTTTCTCCATAGTCAGTACGTTATTGATGTTTGATCAAGTTAAGGACCACGTAAACTTAAAAACAAAATATTAGCCCATTTTAACCTTTACCACCATGCTAAAAGATTTTATATTTTTTAAAGAAAACAAATTATTAGACATAAATGAATGAAATAAAACAAGTACTATTAAGTTGGCATCAAGAAGCCTTAGCAAATCTAGGGTCAGTGGGAATCGGGGAAAACTCTTTGCTGATTAGTTATATCTGGCCATAGGAAGATGGTTGTGGTTGTTGGAGATCAGTCTTCTATGCTCCAGGACATCTCTGCAGGAGTTCCTCAGGATAATGTCCTACTTCCAACCATCTTCAGCTGCGTCATCAATGACCCTCCCTCCATAAGAAGTTGGGATATTCATTGATGAATACACAATGTTCAGCACCATTCACAACTCCTTAAATACTGCAGCAGTACATGTTCAAATGCAGCAAGACCTGGACAATATTGAGGTCTGGGCTGATGAGGGGATCATGGCATTCGTGCCATACAAGTGGCAGACAGTGACCATCGTAACAGGAGAATATAACTATAATCCCTTCACCTTCAGCGGCATTGTCATCACCAAATGCTCCACCATCAGCATTCAGGGGTAACATTTGATTAGAAACTAAACAGGATTCACCATATAAATACAGTGGCTACAAGAGCAGGTGAGAGACTAGGAATTACTGTAGCAATTAACTTACCTCCCCAAGCCTTTCCACTGTCTACAAAGCACAAGTCAGAAGTGTGATGGAATACTCCCCACTTGCCTGGATGGGTGCAGCTCCAACATCACTCAAGAAGCTTGACACCATCCAGGTCAAAGCAGCCCACTTGGTTGGCATCACATCCACAAACATCCACTCCCTCCTCCACTGACCCTAAGTAGAAACAATGTGTACTATCTACAAGATGCGTTGTTGAAATTCACCAAGCCTCTTTCAATAGCATCTTCCAAAATCATTACCATCTACAAGGACAATGGCAGCAGATACATGGGAACACCACCAACTGCAAATTCCCCTCCAAGCCACTCACCATCATGACTTGGAAATAAATCACCATTCCTTCAAACTCACTGGATCAAAATCCTGGAACGCGCTCCTTAACAGTACCAAGAATGTACCAATACCACTTGGACTGTAAAGGTTGAAGAAAGCAGTTCACCTCTACTTTCCTAAGAGCAATTAAGAATGGGCAATAAATGCTGGCCAGTCATCAAAGGGCAATTTCCTAAGTGAATATAAGAAACTTCACATATTTTGTTATAAACCGTATTATTATGCATTCAGGTTTACTTCTTATTTCCATAAGAGTTCTGGTATAAGACACAACAATATTCAAGCTATTTCCATGAATGGAAACCACTTACAAGACTGCCAATCCAATGAACATATGGATTAGGAACAGAGACAGAGTGTTTGGCCTTTCAAGCCTGTTCTTCCATTCACTGAGATACTGTTTTTATGTTTCCAATTCCATATTCCAATTTGTCACTGATAACCTTTGATTCCCTCGCCTAACAAGAATCTATCACCACTTCAAAAATCTCACAACACTGAGAGAGAAAAAAAATCCTCTCATCTCCATCCTAAAAGGGTGACCCCTGATTTTAAAATGGTGCCCCCTAGCTCTGGACTGACCCACAAGAGGAAACATCCTTTCCATATCCACCTTGTCAAGACCATTCTGGATCATACCAACTTCAATCAAATGTCCCTCATTCTTCTAAATTCCAATGGAAACAAGTCCAGTGTATACAACCTTTCCTTATAAGACAACACACTGATTCCAGGCATCAATCTGGTAAGTCTCCTTGGAACCACCCCCAAAGTATTTACATCTTCCGGAGAATTCACCTCAGCTCCAGCTATTCTCAGAGGTAAACCTTTCATTTGGCCTCTTTAATTGTGGATGCATCGGTCACTTGTTATGGTTACTTTTCAATACTTCTACGCCAATTTAGCTAATTATTTTGCATTAAGACATGATGAGGCCTGTTGTAGATTATCCTGCTAGCTTCAAACTGTGAATTATTCCAGTTCCTGTTCCCTCACATGATTCAAACTGAGATTAAACCTCATCTGCAATATACTCAGAGATGGAGATAGCATATTATTCAGTTTCACAGACCTGCCCTATAAAAAGTCATTTACTTTGGCAATCTTCTCAGTGATCTGCGTAACTGCAGAACTGCATAAGGTCCAAACTGCAACTATAATCCTCTCTCAGTAAAAACCCAGATAAAATGAGGCCAGGCAGCCTTCCTAAGCCCTAACGACTTCCATGATAATGCAGTCTGCGAGAGCTTTTTTCAAGCTAAACTTTAAATTAGTTATACCTCATTTACACTTTCTTCTTTGATCTTATGAGGAAAGTGGGACTTACAATCTTTTAGAGACCATTGAATGCTTTTAAATTAATTTAGCTCTCACTCCCAAAACAAAAATAACTTCCTAGACTGCACTTCTTTGCAAGCAGTTCAGACATCAGATTTTCTGATTTCCAGCTAAATAAACCACCTGCTGTTTTAAGATCTTACTTTTCTAGCTGTTAAACTTTTAAGTGCAATAGACTCTTGCTTTAATTGCATATATCGCATTTCTACAGTTAAACTTTAATTCTTTAAAGCAAAACTTATATAATTAAACCACATCAACCATGAACTAGATAGTCACAACACAGAACAGTGAATACCTCATTTGTGGGATTGCTGAACTGGTGATGGATGGGAACAATAAATTGGTTCAGAGTTGTGCTGAATAACCTGTTTTTCACTGGGC